CATATACCTATTTATTTCATTGTAATGGGTCTGGATTAATTTAACTTCTTCTGGTAGTCTGTTGTTGGGTAATGTTCTAAAGTGTGAAGTAGGAGTGTGTTTGGTTATAGATGTTTTTATTGCTGAGTGCAGTCTGTCCATTTTTGAGTCTATGTCTTCTGTTGTTTTCCCTTGTAGGTTAATCGAGTGGTGATTACCTAAGTCGTCTTTGAAGCTGTCCCAGTCTGTTTTACTCATTTTCAGTCTCTTTTTTATTGGTATCTGTATGGGGCTTGTTGACAGTGTTAGTATAATTGGCAGATGGTCACTGCCTGTAAGAAGTCCCTGTATTATATGGTAATTGAAAAAGGCTTTGTTGTTGGTAAAAATTTTGTCTGGTGTCGATTGTGTATTGTGATTTCTCCAGGTTGGAAAGTTAGGACCCAGATGATTGATTTTCCCTAAATTTATTAATTGATTAAGGGCGTTTCCCACGACGTTATTATTTGTATTGTCAAAAATCCTATGTCTGGCGTTAAAGTCTCCTAAGATGTACATCGGATGACTATTGTTAGCCAATTTTAATAGGTCTTCTATAGGTAAGTAGGGTCGTCTCGGTGGGAGATAAGTAGTAGCAATAATTACGTCTCCTTGAGTTGTATTTATTTTCATTGCTAGAAATTCATCCTGGAAGTCATCAATTAGTTTAAATTTTAAGTTTCTTTTAACCGCTATCGCTACTCCGTCATTTTTCTCGCCCGATTTATTTCTTTGGTTTACATAATAGTTAAAGAGTTTTATGTTGTTGTTTTCTGTCTCACCGTGACTGTTTATTAGTATAATGTCAGGGTCAATTTCTTGATATATATATTACTTAGGTTAATTCTCTCGGTCTTCCAGTTTCTTACGTTGTGTTGTATTATTCTTAAAGTTCTTACTGTTTGTCTATTGTCCATTATTTCTTATACTTGGATTGTGACTGTTGAAGTGGAGACCTATCATCCTGTTTCCCGCTTCTGACTCTTCTAAACTCTGACGGGTCTACTATTTTAAAGTCTTTGGTCGTAATCTTTAGTTTGTCCGTAGTAATTAGTGACCAGACATAATCTTCACTTTGGGATTTTTCTTGATATGTCCACTTGTATATCCCTCCTTCACAGTTTTTTACTATTGTCCCTCCTGTTGGTCTCGATGTTGGGATTCCATGTTTTGTTGTAGTGATAACTTTTAATCCAATTTCTTCAGCAGATTCAGGTTGTATATTGTGATCAGTTTCCATCTTATCTTCTCTCCTCCTACTCCTTTGTCTTATAGTCTGTCCTTTTGTTATTTCTATCTTCTCTTTGTCACTTCTAGTCATTTGTCTGGGATCTCTATCAGTCGCTTGTGTTCCTTGTGTATCAGCTGTTGCTCCTTGCTCAAACCTTTGCTCGTCTAGATGTAGTCTTTCTCTCAGTTCGCTTGCATATGTTGCCTGAAATAGTTTTTCGGATTGTGGATTCTCTGGAAATATCATCTCTGGTAGGTTATTCAATTTAAACATTTTCCTTAATTCCTCATTGTATGATCCGGGTGCAATGATATTGTGCAAATGTGCATGGATCATACTAATCATTACCTTATCATGTATTGGCTCACTTAGGTTTAATATGGTGGATTCTGGTCTATGAGCCTCTTGGGCCGCTCTCTTGGCTATTTCGACGTATGTCGTATCCTTCTTGTCTTGTTCCTTTTTCCTTGTTTCTTGTTCCTTGTACTTTATCATGTGTTTTTTATTGGGCATGCCATTGCTAACGTCCTATGTCCTATGTATGCATTCCCGTTTCTCTTACAGTTGAGACAGCCAACATGTGTATTCTTACATTCAGTGTAGGTATGGTCGTCGCCTGCACAATCTGAGCAGTACTTTTTTCTTTTTCCGGACAGTCTCTCGTTGTGTGTTCTTCATATTTGTAGCAGGAGAAACAAGTTTGCAGACTGATGAATGTCTCCTTCTTTATTTGATGTGGTGTGACTGACATGTTGAATATTAAAAAGCCCTGTTGTAAAACTTTCTCAGCCATTGACACTTCTTCAAAAGTAATCTTAAAAACATGAGTATAGTCCTTTATCTTAATGACTTCTTCAATCTTCATCCACCTATTTTGGCGTTCCAGTTCATCTTTCAGGTCTTCCGATGTCTTCCTCCCGATCTCTTGGTCGACTTGACGAACAAAAACTGATCTTTTTGCTTTTTGTTCTGGTGGCATGACAACAATAAGGCCTTCATTGTAAAATATATCTCTTGCTTCTTTTGAAAGGATTTTATCTGAATCAAAGTCATCTTTACAGAATACTTTAAAACCTTCATTGGTGCTGAATATTCTTGTTAGTGGGACTTGCAGTTTGTTGTAAGTGATTTCTGCCACTTTTCCCCTTCCAATAGAGTGTCCCTTATCTCTATGTTTTATTCTAATGCTAGTTGTCATCTTCTTGATTACATCTAATCCTACCTATAACACAGGGCTCCTGCCTGGGAGCAGTGACCCCGCCCCCCCCTCTTGGACGGGCGTCGGGCTAGGGGGTTCTGCACCCAGGTTACCTGTGACTATAGTTATATCTAAGAAAGTTGCCACCTACCGGTGACCCCCGGACAAGGGGTGCCCTGCACTATCACAGGTTCCCTTGCTGGATCGACCGTATCGCTAAGTCCCGCCTCCCGTTCAAAGAACGGAGTGCATGAGGGGGATGAAAAAAGGAAAGAAGAGGACTTAGAGAGTAGAAACAGCCTACCTACCACGCCACGTTCGGTTAGCCAATCAGAGCACCGCAGTAAACGTGCATGTATCACGCCACCGTGGGGCACCACTGATTGGCCAATCCAGGACGTAGACGCACGGGTAGTAGTCAAAATTTGGGGAGCCCAAATATTTGTTTTTTTCCAAAAGTTGGAATTTCCCGTACAATCTGTGATGGTAATTACACCGTCACTATGTTGAGTAAGTACAATCACTAGGATTGAGTGTCTTATCACAACAAAGTTGCAGACTGCTCAAACATGCAGCAAAAGAGGCAGGTCTTCGCAGCTCCGGGTCCAGCCAGAGAGAGGTCACCACGAGGTCAGGTCTTAAATTGCGGAGGTAGGCGTGGCTTAGTAGTTGACCTCCGTCATGTAAGGCGGCGCTGGTTGACCTAGACCACGAGGCATACACTGGGAAATTCGTGGGGTCGGCTACTCAGCGACAAACAGCGTTTGTAGGGGAGAAATCCACTACACAGTCCTCACAAAGGTTAAGTCCTCTCTCACACCCCAGAGAGAGGCAGTTCTCTCCATACCACTAGACAGAAAAGTTCACACTTAACAGAAGTGATATTCTCAACACTTCCCTGGAGATAATTCACAATATATTCTCTCAGATTATATCTGTGTATACACCTGCTCTCAGCAATAAAACAGATAATGCCAAGAAGTGTTTACATCAAGACCTGCCACTTAAAAGTTCAGAACTTAATTAAAACAATTAGTGTCACACCAAAACAGCTGTCAACTGTTCCATGTATATATTTGAAACTCACTTCCTCAACAGATTTGTATTCTATGTATTAAAACAAACATACCAGTTAAAATACCATTACACATCACCCACATAGTTCAAAGTGCTGTTTTCACCTTGTAAATGTTCATACATTAGATGGAGGCTAGGCCAGGGAAGTGTCAGTGTGGACCTGGGTACAGCACTTGGAGGAACCAATAAACCTTTACTGAGTGAACACAATGATCTGGTTCTCCATGATGTGTCATCATCCCAGAAAGTCACAAACCTTAACCTAACTTAACATTATTTAGGCTGTTTAAAAGATGTGTTTATATCCCTGACTTTTTCTAACCCCAATTGTGACTTTCTTTCCGGACACCTGAGCTCATCCCTCCCCCTAAACAGAAGACGTCATCATAAGTGAGGAACAACTCTCCTGGCACTGAAACTTTGGATGATAAAGTACATCCTCTCTAGAGGAAGTTAGTTGACTCAATATGACACATGTATACAGACGACTCAAGAAGTATTGTGTTATTATACATGAACATTAATTATTTAATAAAGAAAACGATTAAAACCTTTGGTAAATAAACAAAATACAGAAAAAAATAAAAGTGATTTGGCACCAGCACATAAACCATCCAGCAGTGAGATGATTGTAGGCGTATTAACAATGTTATAGGTTTTATTTTCGTCTTTAATAAATTATCTTTGTGTTGTTATTATTTTCTATCCCAAGCAACAGTTACTTTCATGTATATAATGATGGGAATGAACGCGGTGACGAAACGGGTAGAGCAGTGGTGACGAAACGGGCAGACCCCATTTACATGTTTTATGTAGAAGAAAGTAAAAAAAATAAATAACTGTGTAATACAAACATTTTTATCACCCAATGTAAGAGCATAAAACAATAATATAATACACAGATCAAGTTATGAAATAATAAAAGAATATTTACTTTTATCCTCTTGGCAGTACAGCTCAAACACTAATTCATTTATAAAAGTCAACCTTCGCAAATTAATGTAAACTCATAGCACTAATTTTCATAGCCGAGGAGTACCGTAACAGAGACTAATGAATATATATGTAATATTATCCGCCAAAGAAAGTATATAAAGTACTTTCCTTGGTACTGGTGGGAGGGGTGGATGGGAGCTGATTAGTGTTATAATATTACCACGAACTAGTTTATTGCTTAACCTCAAGTAACTAATATATACTTAACATAACTACCCGATGATAGTTAATTATTACTCAGTGTTACTATAACAACCTGGTGATAGTTTATTATTACTTAGTGTCACGATTACTGCCTGGTGATAGTTTATATTACCTAGTGTTCAGTTTATAATACAATAAGTAGATGTAATACAATTATTCAAAAGTGTATCAGTAGTAGAGTAAAGTTTGTTTTCCAGATAATATTAAGTAAATAATAATTGTTTAAACTATGTGATGTTAGTTTATATTATTATATTAGGTAAAGTTGAGTTGTTCGTGGTAAGTTATTAACAGTGTTCATCGCCTCACTTGTAAACATTAAGTCGACCAAAATGTGTTAATTAAAATACAAACTTGGAGGATTTAATACTTCACTACGTCACTGTGAGTTGTTTATTAACTTATATATAGCCAAGGTGAACCGTGGTACTTTAGTAAGACGTGTTACCTGTCTAGTACAGTACTGTCTGTTGTACAGTACTGTCTGTTGCTGGGTAATGTGTGTCACTACCACCAGTTGTTTGATCATTATTGGTGCACATGGAGAGTGTAGGGACAGTGTCACTACTGTTGTTGTTAAAACAGACTCAGTCAGCCAGCGGCCTTACTTGATGGAGAGTCACCACCAACACATGTTACCAGAAGCAACACCCACTAACACCAGCTGAGTCACCACCAACACATGTTACCAGAAGCAACACCCACTACTGCAACACTTAACACCAGCTGAGTCACCACCAACACATGTTACCAGAAGCAACACCCACTAACACCAGCTGAGTCACCACCAACACATGTTACCAGAAGCAACACCCACTACTGCAACACTTAACACCAGCTGAGAGTCACTGAGTCACCACCAACACGTGTTACCAGAAGCAACACCACTACTGCAACACTTAACACCAGCTGAGTCACCACCAACACATGTTACCAGAAGCAACACCCACTACTGCAACACTTAACACCCGCTGAGAGTCACTGAGTCACCACCAACACATGTTACCAGAAGCAACAACCACTACTGCAACACTTAACACCAGCTGAGTCACCACCAACACATGTTACCAGAAGCAACACCCACTACTGCAACACTTAACACCAGCTGAGAGTCACTGAGTCACCACCAACACATGTTACCAGAAGCAACACCCACTACTGCAACACTTAACACCAGCTGAGAGTCACTGACACCACCAACACATGTTACCAGAAGCAACACCCACTACTGCAACACTTAACACCAGCTGAGAGTCACTGAGTCACCACCAACACATGTTACCAGAAGCAACACCCACTACTGCAACACTTAACACCCGCTCAATATTAAACAAATTTAAAAACGTTTTAATTTCACTGTTTTGTAGTGAACACTGTCCCAGTTATGTATAATGTGTTAAAACTTGGTTATTTCTAAATTAAACGTGACATAGCCTAACCTAACCTAACCATATTTGATAACAAAAGCAAGTGGCAGAAGCATTGTTAGAAGACCTTGCCATACTAACCAAACAAACTTGACCTAACCTAAGCTAACCTAACCTGACCTGACCTAACCTGACCTAACCTAACCTAACCTTCCAGAACCCCCGGCATATTAAACAGAAAGAACTTCCTATTATATGGTGTAATTTGACCTTTTTTTGTGGACCTGAGAGCAGCCGCCTGATCTGTGTGGCTCATAAACCTACACTGGTGACTGGCGTTGAGTGGAGATGATTGGCTGTGTACCGCCGCATCACCACCGAGAAAGACAAGTGATGTGCGCCAGACAAAGTAGTTCTCGCCTAGTCACCTAATTATCTACTAAACGAAGCAATTACCCTAAAAATTATTATTATATCAGAACTCATTGATGAAAATATAATATTGTACAGTCTAGTTAATATGACTTACAAACTTGAGACAGCAATAGTTGGAGGTAGTGAACGGCTGCCTCTCACCCCTCCACCTGGTGTAACACAACACACTATGTGAAATATTACTTATAGTACATTTTGTTTCTCCATCTAGTTGTCTCTCTGTCTGTACGTAATTATGGTCAAATTATAATGATTTATGGTACTGTGTTACAACCTGGCTGTGTTGTTAGATGATAACAAAGAAATTCATAGAGGAAGAACAATTATATACAATTGTTGACATAATCCAGGACTGGCGGCAATATTCATTACCAAAACAAGACGAATCAATACTGGGCATAGTACCCCGGCTAGGTTTTGTTAGGTTAGGTTTCTTTCTCTCGGCATTGATTCAATTATACAGTAAAGCCTCTGTTAACAAGTAGCATCCTGTGTACTGTGGGCTGGTGTCTTGCCCACAGTGTGGATGTGGGTCACACTATAATAACCCGTTATAGTACATCCTTCTTTCCTCACACTGTTGAATGCTCTGCCTTCTTCTGTGTTTCCATACAATCTGTCTCACTCTAAACAAGATGCTTCTCTGGCGGTGTACATTAATATAACCTTTTTATTTTATATTTTTTTAATTTATTTTTACTCTTCCCTCCCCTAGGCCCTGTTGTGGGTCATGACCTGTGCCCGGGTGGACTATTACCCATAAAAATATATATATATATATAGCCTGTGTTCCAGCTTATGAATGTCTTCACATAACCTAACCTAACCATTTTTCATTAAAACTTAAATATTCACAATTTCCTTCAATCAACAACTCTTCACTGACTTACTGTGCAGTGAGAGTAGAATGGGTGAAGCTTTTATCCCTCACAACTCCTAAAGATATTCAGAAATATATTTATTATGCACAATACACTATTTGATATTTGTATATTACATAACTGTAAACGCCTTGGTTAAGGTCGTTCAGGTGACGGGCAAGTCGAAGGGAATGATTGAAACTCGCCTTTTGACTCATTCAATATTTATTGATGTGGTCAAAACCTACAGAGGAGATGTTCATAATATTACATGGTGATCCATCGGATACATAATGAGTTAGTCTCACACAATTTTATCTTAATTACTATTTATTAAACATGTGACATAACACAAAGTTCATAACTCTAGTAATCTTAGTTATGCTTCATTTTGCATTGTCTTATTACTCCAGATAAGGCAAAAACGAGTAGGTGTAATTAGTCAACAATATTTCAGTACCGAGGGGTATGTCATCACTTGGCTGTACTTACAAGTGCGGGTCAATGCAGATCAGTATGGTGTTCCAAGAGACAACAGTACTGAGTAAATTGTCCCAGCACAAATTCTCAGACAGGATTATGAGTCGGTGTTCATCAGTGCCAGCAGAAGGCTGGTCTTCACAGCCTCACGAGAGAGGGCGATCTGTCTCATGGCGGGGCGGGCAGTACCACCACCCGCCGAAGACAGTCCACTCAGCAGAGCCAGGACTTTTCTGTAAACATTTCTACATCTGGCGAGGTCACGGGTCGAAAGATTTAATGGCATCACACGCCAGCACTGTAGCTGAAGCCATCGGCAATAACAGTCATTATTCTAATTTTTATACAATTTATTGCTTGTCACTGTTGAAGATGGAGGAGACAACCACCTCGTTACAGCCTCATGGATCCTTAAAGTTGATGGTAGTTAAGATCTTCGTGTCGTCCTATTGAGGTGGGGGTAATTATATAGGACTAACCCAAGAGCAAAATGGATTGATAACTATTATAAAAACGTCAAATTTTCATTGTTATATTATAGTGGACTCTGTTTGTGGTAATGTTACTAAAATGGATGTTTTTTAAATAAACGCTACTTAACATTTGTGGTTATAAAGGACAGACCTAACCAAACAAACCTGCCTAACTTAACTTGCCCTGTACAGTATATTAAACAGAAAAAACTTACTATACGGTGATATTTGAGACATTTTCTGGACGTGAGATGATACAGCAGCATCGGCACTATGGTGGGTTAGTCTTATATATTAACCAAGGTGGGATTTTGGGTCATTTTTATTTTGGGAAAGATTTTTTTTATTTAATTGAAGTAAAAAAAATTGGTTATAAGAATGTGGTACTTTTTATTTATGGTTAAATTACAGATTGTAGTAAAAAATTAGCCAGAGACATTTTGGAAACTTTAATGTAAAATTGCAGTTTTTTTTTGACAAGTTTACATTTTTGTCACTGTATTTGGTGGGATCCTAACCTAACCAAATCATGTGTCCGATGGTGAGGTTTTAATTCTCTGGGAAAGGAAAAATCACAAGACTCTTCACAATATCGGCGTTTATAGATAATTAAACCCTTATGGCAGTGGGATATAACTTGTGAATTTACCAGGTGTTATCCATTAGTGACTAGTAAGTGGTATTAAGAAAGTTGTTGACCAGAGTTAACTTGAGGTGAAGTCAAGTTTTGTCTTCTCATGGGAGTTAAAAATACAATACCACAATATTTACATTACATGTATTGGCTTTTATAAAAAAATTTTGTCTTTATACATTTTATTCATCAATTTTACTTTTTACTTTTATCCTCTTCACCACTAATCGGCTCTTTAGCCGCTTGGGCGATTGGTCACGTCTCTTACGCACTGTTGGCAAGTACTGGGCATGCACTGGCTCCTGAATGTACCTGAACCTGCTCCAGTGTTGGCCAAGTCTTGTCTTGAAAGCGCTCACACTCGGTGACGTCACAACACTTTCTGGCAGATTGTTCCAAGAGTTCACAACTCTCACACCGAAAGTTTGCCCTCACAGTTTTCTGGACTTGCGGTTTCTTCAATCTTGAGCTAGGCAAGTTCAGGCGCTCCAATCTCTCAGGGTAGCTGAGGTGTTGAAGGGCAGGCACCAGTCTGGTGGCCCTCCTTTGAACATTTTCTACCAACTGACAGTCCCTAGCATATCTCGGGGACCAGACGGGGTGACAGTACTCCAGATGGGGAAGCACTTCACTCTTGAAGATCGTTACGAGGGACGGACTGTCTAGATATCTGAACGACCTTCTTATAAGACCCAATAATTTATTTGCCTGATTTACCTTCTTGCAATGGCCCGACAACTTCAGCTCATTGTCAACATACACACCTAGGTCCTTCTCACATTCAGTCTCAAATAGTACAGTTTCTTCATCCCGTTGGGACATATGATACGTCTCCTTACCGTTGGTACGCCCCAGGTGCATCCTCTTACACTTCGTGACATTGAATCTCAGCAGCCATTTCTTCGACCATTCTTAGAATCTACCGAGGTCCTTCTGCAGCTCTTCATAGTCCGCTTGGTTCTTTGTTTCCCGAAATAACTTGGCATCATCGGCAAACATTTGTATGGAGGAGTGTACAACGTCAGGCATGTCATTTATGAAACAAACAAACAAACAACAGCGGACCCAATACATTGCCCTGTCGTACCCTGCTTGTGACAGGTACGGATTATGATTTCGTGCCATTAATAACCACACTCTGCTTGCGGTCATGTAGAATGTCTTCCATCCACACTAGGGCATTTCCCCGAATTCCGTACCCTTCCAGTTTGATTTTCAGCCTTTCGTGGGGTACATTGTCGAAAGCCTTGGCAAAATCTAGGTAAATATTGTCTATATTACCATCCTGTTCTAGAATATGGGTCCAAATATCCAATACCTTGAGCAATTGTGTTAAGCAGGAGCGCTCTGGCATAAAACCGTGTTGACAATCCTTTACAAGGTTATTTCGTCTCTAACATGTTGGAACAGAAAATTATTTGAGTTTTTACAAAAAGAGTAACAGGGTTATTTTGTTTACAGTTTACGGCTCCAATTGGTTGTTACTGTAGTGTTAAGACAACTACCATATTGCTGCCTCGCTGATCATCATTAATGAAGTTCCTCGTGTCATTCGTCGAGGTAAGATTTTGTAAAGTGTTTCTTTATTTTCTTTAATAAGTTTTATGGAAATTTCTTAATTTAACCATAATATTGTATTTAAATGTTAGAAGATTTAATGAGTTCATGTATAATATAATACTGTACAGTACTGTATACATATTATATAATATTACTGCCCAGAGTATTTAATTTATTAGTTGTTAAAATGTTATTCATTCCAGGACGGTGACGTGAAGATGTAAGATGTGGGCCACAAGACGAAGGTTTGTTTTGGTTAACGGGTCTCTTGCTGCACCACATTGGAAACTTTCTGCTACAGGTTGTACCTCTCTAGTCCGGCATTCTGTGGTCCGGAAACTCCCGGGGTCCGGAACGATTTTAGTTTGTCCAATAGGTAGATAGGCAGCTTTTTTTTCTTTTTTTTTTTTACTTATGTGAATTATTATTACAGGAGTATTAAATTTTTGCCCCTCAGGCCCCAATGTGGGTCAGTGACCTATGCCCGGGTGGGCTAATCCCCTAAAAAAACAAAGCCGCGGGAAATTAAGGTTTGTTTACATCCGGCAGTTCGGCTGCTCTCTCTCTCTCTCTCTGCTTGTCTATACAGAGTACAACATTTAACCCTTCAATATATATGAGCAGTAAATAAGTGTTGCTTTCATATTCTTATGTAGAGTAATGACGATATGTTTTCACATGTGCGCACTTACATACGAGCAGTCTCACTTTTTTTTTTACCATTAATGGTTAGCTACTTATATTGTTCCATTTATTAACATTAAATAACATTACAGGTACTTCAAACAACCATATTAATTTTTTTACATTAATTTTACTACAGCTAAACTCAGGGTCTTATTTTCTTCAGTTTTATATGTAGAACCAATCAGTCACTGGTTTCGTAAGCTTTAACATAAACAATGCCGGCAGCCGTCTCGTCTCCTCTAATATTCCACGTATTATTAATGAATTGTATTGTTAATTTTGCATACACGTACATTAATTCAATAAAAACAAATTCAGAAACATTAATTAAAATATATATGAACAGTAAATTAGTGTTGCTTTCATGTTCTTATATAAAGTAATGACGATATGTTTTCACGTGTGCGCATGCGCACTTACATATGCGATCTCTCTTTTTCTTTACCATTATCGTTAGCTACTTCTATTGTTCCATTTATTAACATTAAATAACATTACTTAAAACAACCATATTAATTTTACTACAGCTACAACCAAGGTCTTATTTTCTTCAGTTTTATATGTAGAACCAGTCAGTCACTGGCTTTGTAATCAACGAAAACAATGCTGTGTCATTTCCTCGTGTGTTTTAATATTCTACGTATTATTAATGAATTGTATTGCTCATTTTGCACACATAAACATTAATTCAATAAAAAAGACATTCATTAAATAAACAATAATGAGTCTTTTGTACATATGAGAAATGACGCTGTTTACACGATTATGCACGTTGGCAGGCCGTTCAAACCCGTCGAAATTCAAGTTTCCGCCGTCAAATTTTTATTTTTTTTTTTGTGTTCCAATAAAATATGTTAATAATTAAAAACTCGCTATCTATCCAGGAAAAGGGTGAATTTCCATGATCCGGCAATTTCCATGGTCCGGCACCGGTCAGGTCCCGAGGTTGCCGGACTAGAGAGGTACAACCTGTATAACATAAGGTACAGTACAGTGTATATCTATGTGGTTTTAGTTTTTATTAGGGATCTGGGATCACAGTTTAAAAATTCAAGTAATTGTGTTAATGACCTTTGAAATAATTAGATATTTTAAGTAGATTACGCTGTGCCTGAAAGTTTTAAAGGCCTTTATGGATGGTCTTAAATATGTTGACCATCTTTACTGTATGAAGTTAGTTTTCACGTTGTCAAAATATTTGTCAAATATGCCTGACCTAATACCTTTGTCTTCAACACTTGGGGTAAAAAAAATAGTTTAAATATCCTACAAAGGTACAGGATACTACTTTACCTGATTTTAAATCTGGGTTCACAAATTAGTTATTGTGTTAATGACTTTTTGAAACTATTAGATATCTAAAGTAGATTACTTAGGCTTTGCCCGTATTTTTTAAAAGGCCTTCATAAACGTTTTAAAATATAGACTATTTTTGCGTCGACTGCATGGAAAAGCCAGGAAACTTTACAAACAAGTGGGGTATTATATTTGGGTTAAGTTATAATTAAATATAGTTTTTTGGCATCAATCTTGGCATTAATTAATGCTGCACTGTATAATAGGTAAATAATTACTGTACTTTTAGGAACATTCCACAACAATAATGATGATAGTTCAAGTTAGTGATCAAATATTACAGGTTATACCTACTGCCGTGAGTATTGTCCAGTGAATTGTTCTTATAATGGACTTGTTCCACATTAATAAAGGTTCATATAGGTGGATAGTGGAGTGTTGACCCACGTCAGGTTAAGGTTGTCACCAGGGAGGGTCGCAATTGGTTCCACGGAGTCGTTCGTTAACTGAATCTATATACTGTAGTGTTATATATTAATAAAATATTAATAAATAAACTTAAAATAGTTAAACACAAAATGTTATTGTTTAAATTTATTTTAGTAAAATTGTAAATGCTGTCAAGCTATTCGGTTCTCCAGCCACTGACTTAAGTTTAGTTTAATGTTAATATATATCTATTAGCAGGAATTTAATCAATAATAAAACAATATGATTAAAGTATAATTTATTTATATCATGTAATATTTATTAATAAATACTTTTATTTTAGTTTAATAATGAAAACTTGTAGTTACTGAAAGATAAGAGAGAGAATCGGACAAGGTGTAGCAGGTCAACATCAACCAACGTGGCCGTCTTGTTTATTTTTGTTTATTTTGTGAGTAAATGTTAATTTGTGGGCCTTCCTCCCTCCCTCGTGGTAAAGGTAATAAATGTTTTATGTTATGTCGTTGATATAAACATACATTAGAATGTTTGAGTTAAAGGTTGGTTATCCGAGATGGTCCGAGTTGGTATTTGATGGGCCGAGTTGGTCCTAGTTGGCGTTCGGCTGAGATGGTCCAAGTTGGCTTTGGGCCGAGTTGGTCCTAGTTGGCGTTCGGCTGAGATGGTCCTAGTTGGCGTTGGGCCGAGTTGGTCCTAGTTGGCGTTCGGCTCAGATGGTCCAAGTTGGCTTTGGGCCGAGTTGGTCCTAGTTGGTGTTCGGCCGAGATGGTCCTAGTTGGCGTATTTCAACCCTTTTCTCCGTTAATTTAGTGACTGGATATATCTTGCCTTGAGGGAGATCTTATATAAAATTATTAAGACATTATTAACAAATAACAGTGACATAATTTACACAGTTTAACATAATTAATAATATTATATAGTAATTATATCATTGTTAGATGGTTTAATTAATAAATATCAGTTAAAACTATTGCCTGGTGTAAACCCTGACAGGGAGCGTTAGTGCGCTGTGATGTAAACAACAACAGCTGCCTGAGGTAAAGTGTTCTGTTATATTGTATTGTGAATATTAATTTATGAAGTTAAGATGTGTGCAGGGATTATACACACAGTATTATAATTGTTATGACCACATTATGGACAACGTGAAGTTGGCCCTTGGTGGCTTGGCCCAGTGAACTTGGCCCAGTGGTGATCTCGGCCTCACATTAAATGGCCCCATGTCAACAATGGTATTAAGTGTCAGGCTTTTTGAGGCTTTTATATTGTAACTATTTAAAACAGATGGATTTAAAATCACCTACATATACAGTTTAATGGGCCAGACAGTTTGGTTATTGCAGACACAAGTTGCATGGCGCCTCACCCACCATCTTCACTATTCTTGTATTAGTTCACACAACTTTCTTACCCCAAATATATTATCATATTCCATTAAAACGTCTAAGTATAAGATAATTTTCTTTGGTGAATATTCGATCTTACACTGTTATTTCTCTCGCTGTTATTAATATATTTTTCATAATGTTTAGACAATTCTAAGACTTTTTTCTAACATATTTTTGTTTTTCGTAATGTTTAGACAATACTAAGACCTTTTTCTTCTATTATATTTCCGCCGGAATTTAATGATAACAGAGATATTATTTTATTAATATTATTAGATGAGGTGAGTCACTAGTGTCGCCTGGACTGTTACTTCAGCTGTTGGTTCAAGTATATAAGGGATTAATTGGTCCTAACTTGGAGTACTGCTCTCATATCTGGGGTGGCTCTTCAACTGTTAGATAGGCTGGAATCAAAGGCTTATTAACTCTCCTCCTTTAGTTGATAATCTCTCTTCTCTTCACCACAATGTTGCTTCACTCTCTCTCTTTTACAGGTACTTTAACGGACGGCATCCTGTGTACCGTGGGCTGGTGTCTTGCCCACAGTGTGGGTCACACTATAATAACCCATTATAGTACATCCTTCTTTACTCACACAGCCAAACTGTGTCTGTGTGGATGTGGGTCACACTATAATAACCCATTATAGTACATCCTTCTTTACTCACACAGCCAAACTGTGTCTGTATGGATGTGGGTCACACTATAATAACCTGTTATAGTACATCCTTCTTTCCTCACACTGTTGAATGCTCAGCCTTCTTCTGTGTTTCCATACTCATAGAATCTGTCTCACTTCAAAAAGCTGGTTTTCCGGCATCTTCGCGGTGTAGATTAATATAACCTTTTTATTTATTTTTTTTTTTTACAATTATTTTACACTAATTGATTTAGTCACCTGTATTTTTCATTTATAAATTTTACTTTTATTAGAATATCATCTAAGGCAAAATATTTTATTTCAGATATTGTGATGTAACATCTCAAGATCAAGTGTAACTAAGTAGAAGTTCACAATGTCAAGCAAAGATAAAAAGTTCTCCTGTGAGGAATGTGGCAAACAGTTTGGCTTCAAGTCTACTCTTCAGAAACATTTACTTGGACACAATGGTGTGGAGTTTAAATGTGAGGAATGTGGGAAATGTTTCTCCCGGAAGAGTAATCTCAAGAGACACATTCTTGAACACAATGGTGTGAAGGAGTTTGAATGTGAGGAATGTGGCAAATTTTTCTCTTGGAAGAGTACTCTCAAGACACACATTCTTGTACACAATGCTTTGAAGAAGTTTGAATGTGAGGAATGTGGCAAATGTTACTCCCAGAAGAGTACACTCAAGACACACATTCTTATACACAATGGCATAAAGAAGTTTGAATGTGAGGAATGTGGCAAGTGTTTCTCCGTGAAGAAAACTCTCAAGAGACACATTCTTGGACACAGTGGTATAAAGAAGTTTGAATGTGAGGAATGTGGCAAATTTTTTTCCCAGAATGGTACTCTCAAGAGACACATTCTTGGACACAGTGGTATAAAGAAGTTTGAATGTGAGGAATGTG